CGGCCCCCTTTCAGTTCCTTTAATTTTGCTCTTTTTTTTTTTGTTTTTTTTTTTTCTTTCCCCCCCCCGCAGACCCCCCTGAATCCGGCCAAGAAATCAGCAAAGATAGAGAGAGGGGGAGCGAGGTGGGGGGAGTGGGGGGGAGGAGACCACCCTCTTTCCAGCTGGCCTCTGTCTGCCCGTCATCTGGGCAGGAGGGGTTGGGGCGCTGCTGCTGCCGCACCATCCCCGCCTGGCTCCCGCCGCCAGCCCCGCAGCGACACCGTTTACCGCCTCCCCGGGGCAGCACCGGCTCCGCAGCCACCGGCTCTGCCCGCTGCTCCCCGGGGGCGAGGAGGGCGGCTGCCAGCCCGAAGCTCCGCCGCTGCCTCCCGAGGCAACGGGCGCGGATGCCCTCGGGGTGCGTGTGAGGGGGGTCGCCCACCCTGCGATGCCCCAGGCAGCAGCGTCACGCTGCTCCTCAAGCTGCCAGACCTCCGGTTTTCAAGACTTCTCCCTTTTCCCCGCCACCCTCCCCCACTATAAAACGTAATTCGTTTCATAGGGCAACAGGGGTCGAGTCCGGGGACCGGGGATGCGCCCTCCCTCCGCCCCCCGCTGCAGCGGGTGGGTCACGCGTGTTGGCAAACGCCGTTTGCTGGAGGAAACGGGGCGCCGGCGGGGCAGGGAGGAGAGGGGCTGCTCCCAGATGATGGAGGAGGCTCCAGGATCAAACTGGAGAGGGAAGGAGGGCGGCGGCGGGACGAGAGGCAGAGCAGACGGGGATGGATGCTGGACCAAAAAGGCAGAGGGTTGGGAAGGACAGAGCCGGACGCCGCATCAGCGTGCCTGCAGCGCTCTGTGTGTGTGTGTCTGTGTGTCCGTCTGTCTCCAGCGCAGCTCCGTGCCGAGAGCTCGCTGGGGGTGCGGGCAGGGAGGGGGTGGGGCTGGTCTCAGACAGTGACCTGCAGTTGAGTGGTAGCAGGCTTTTTCCATCAAACTCTGCCTGGATACCACACACAGAGCCCAAGTGTCAGTTTACTGCCCTGAGCCCGGCTCCTTTTCCCTAAGCTCCACAGTAATTAGACAAAGAAAACCTAAATTAACTGAACAGGCGTCGACAGCTTCCTCCAGATCACCACTGCTACATACATGGGAATGTGTCCGAAAATGGCTTGATTGTACCTGAGGATCAAGCTAAGAAAAACACTACCGAGCCCAGCAATGTTTACTACACATTTTTATAAGAAAAAAAATGATCGCTCAGTCCCTAGACTGTGTTTACCTTTCCTGAGGCATCGATTTATATTGTTCCCCTGGTAAAAAAAAAATAAATCTATCTCTAAATCTATCTATCTATCTATCTATCTATCTATCTATCTATCTATCTATATCTATCTCTCTGTATATCTTCCTTCTTTCTTTCTTTCTTTCTTTCTTTCTTTCTTTTTTCTCCCTCCCTCGGAGGGAGAGGGAGGCCGACGTGCTATTCCTGATCTCGTTGTAACGACCCATTCGGAATATTACAAAAGAACAATCAGTGATTTTATAGATTAACATCCTTCCCTGCTCTAGATCGGGGAGCGACTGTCCTTTTTCGCCTTCCGAAGCGGGACGTCTGGCTAAATGTCACCTTCGGGCGAAATGCCCGTCACCTCGGGGACTGTCGGGAGGGTAAATGCATGTCATTGCAAGGGTTTGGGGCGGTAAGACGTCGTCTGAAAATGACTCTAAGGTACCCTCGTTTCAGATAATATTAGTCGAGCAGGAAGAGACATTTACTTCCGACTCGGATGTCGCGATATATGAAGGTGTCGTTGCTTTCTCCGCGGCGTGAGATAGGAAGGAAAGGGATGGGAAGGCGGACAGAGCAGCCCCGGGGCAGAGACCCGCACGCTGCTTCAGTCGCGACTTGACACAGCCCCGATACGAGAATTTTGGGGAACACACTCAGTCGGCAGCCTTCTACCTGTTAGCGGTGTCCTCTTCTTCGCAGCAGACGCGTGTTTGAAACATAGCATTAAGAAGTCTCCAAGACACGGAACCGAGACTTTAGAAGACGGTTTGAAGTGCCTATGATTAAACAGAAGTGCATTTGCTGTTTGGTGGAGATGTTTATTTTGGTTGGTGTATCCATTTCTGAGCTGATCCCAGCTTTGGAGCACAACTGGTTTGTTTTACCAGAGTATACGGAAATTAAACTTTTTGGCAGATTTGGTTACTCAGATGTTGTTCTATAATCATCGTTTTTATTCTAGGAAATCTCTTCATTATTGCGGTTTCAGTTTCATGTTCATAACACAGTCCCCTTTGCTTCGTAGGCTAAATGAAATAAGTTAGACTAAACCAGTTAAGAAAACGGGAGACAAATATGAAAGATAAATGTTTACGGTTATCTTGGAGTCCTTTTTTTTTTTT